GCAAATAGTTTGGGTAGACACCTATACCATACAGTTTAGATAGACACCTATACTCAATGGACACTGTTCCATGTGGCAACCAGAGTGCTATGATTGTTGTAATTCTGTGTCAAAGCACAGGAGTTGCGATCACCTCCACTCTAATATCACTTTGTTGAACTGGGCTTCAGTGAGGGGAAAATCCAATAACACACTATCAATTTATTCACTGAATGAAGGGTACCCCTGAAAACTTTGCAAGTTAAACAATGCACCTGTTTGTTTACCAAAATGCCTCATTGTTGATTAAACAGTTTGTAAGTCATCATGTCGCCTTCAATAGAATAGTCTAACTGACACTTGACGTTCAAAGTAATGAAATGGAGTGCAGACAGTGCAAGGACCTGCTTCTGTTCAAATTATTTTAATCCTCAACATGTTTTTCAGTGGAAGGATCACTGGGCAGGAAAATTATAGTGATAATAAATTGTCAGGAGTTAGATAACTATCATTAATATTGTATAAGTCTAAATTATTTTTCTTAATTAATTCTCTGTTTATAACAAAATGAAAAGAAGTTTGCATCAGTTTCCCTTGATAATATATTGTATTGAGAATCATCACAAACTATCTAGTCTGTTATTGATATATTTTAGGCTACAACATGCATTTTTTAAAATGAAACTAATTAATGTATGACTATGTCAATATTGAATTTAAAGTCACTGCCCATAACATACAGTCAATAACTGCAACTATCTGTACATTCTTTATCTAATACTGAAAGAATCTCTCTTATATTAGTTTTTAACATATCAATAAAAAGTTTATTTGCAACTGGTTTACAGACTTTATAAGGGCATACAATAAATTGGGACATGTTCAGCATGAGAAAGATTTAACTGCAAGACAATAGGTTTATTGACATGATACCCTTAATATGCAGAGCACACAAAGCTTTTCATATTCATGAAACAATTTGTAAGAAAGTCTTTTTCATATTTCATTAGCCCACCCACCAACATCAGCCAAAGACACAAAGGCAGTCAGGTCTTAAAAATATAAACTCTTCGAGAATATATATTTCAGTAATTATAGTTATGCAACATTCAGAAAACAAAAAGGTCCAACTTACCTTTGCGGAGGATCAAAGTAAATCAAAGTAATCTGTACTACAAAGGTATTGACGAAGAAGGCTTCAACGTCTTTAGGTCTGCAAACACAAATGTAACTAGCCACTTAGCCAGTGACCCCAAATCTATTGTATACACTTACAATTATTGACAGTGTTTCCAAGTCCTCTAAGCACATAAAGTGACTGAACACTTTAAGGGGCTCTCCTATTAATGTACTCACCCCTCCCTGTGTATACATAAACTCAGGCAACGTAAAACGTGGTGTACAACAGGGTACACTCCTAAGTCCTAGGCTTTCTTTAACAACTGCATCTAATCTTATATCTTACTCTTCACAAATATGAAAACAGTATACAAAGTGTTGTTGTTGATAACAGTGGTGGTTTTGACAAAAGATTCGAATCCGACCTTTATCGACTCGCATTTATTGACTTCCTATGACCCTCATTATCACTATTGATTCTTAGGAAAGTAACCGGACAATGCTCACGTGGAAACTGAATCCGGCAGGCACATTGTTCCCCAACAAACATATCATTCCATGTCACCAGTATTCGTCTATTTATTTCAGCCAGTCTAAATGCCCACAGTGCAACCAGTTAGGCACGCACAAACACTGAAATTTATCACCCTGATTCCTGGGTTTCTCCTACGTCACTGATGTGAACTTTCCGCTGAGATGGTAATCCATGATATGGAAATAATATCAAAAGATTGCAATGTACTCGTTCTGTACTTCGTGACTGCCCAGGATTAGAATTCAGACCTTGTCTTAGCAGTCTAATGAGAGTTTCATTCATGAGACTGACATAACAGATAAAAGTAATTTCCGGATACTTGTAATAAATGTCAAATACTGTTTTTACACACAAGTTCCTATATCTTCAGCGGGTGAAATTATGTGAAGCCTTTATTTGATTATTTTTGTTCATATGTATGAATAGCCTAAAATACTTATCTTCTCAAATAATAGTAATACGATGTAATCACATGAAAGTTGTGACTCCATTTCAAGCATCATCAATACCTACTGTTCAGGTATAACTGTCGTATATTTCACAGATGACTGAGATGAACAGCAACAATTTTAAATAAAAAACCAGACTGCATAAGTCATAAAAGTTTTAAATAACTTAACATGAAATGGGTAGGTTTATCATTAAAAAAATCATATTTTTCCTTAAGTTTAAACAGATTTTAAATGTGTTATTTCTTTCACCTAACCCTTTTGATGCCTTCAGCATCATGGTGTGTATTGAACAATGTACCAAATCATATCTGTGAAATAGGAATTGGAATAGCTTCTGAATCATAAGTATTTCTTCATAGATCTGTTCATATAACAATTAGTACATATAACAATTAGTACACTGGTAGATATCCAGTGTGAATAAAAATCATATTATTAGACCATCAACAAAGAGTAGACAAACCAACCAGTTCTTTTACAATTCATGACATTAAGTCGTTTCACCAGAGACAGCTGACAGTATCATATTTCACCGCAAGGGTATCAAGTATCATATTTCAGAAATGATTGCCAGGAACATGCAATGTACCTCTACATGATAGGCCCTGGCTTATCGAACTCAACACACAGGCATGGCTGATTACAGCGTATGACTGAAGTTTACTACTGGAGCAGAAAATAGAACATTTCAAAAACGACATCTTGATTCTGCAGATAAAATGTGCCAAAAGTAGTATACTCTTGACAGAAAGCAATTTCACACTGAGGTGAAAAGATAACTTTGCGTTTCCTTCGCACATAGACCCCACTTGGAGCTGCTATCTGGCTCAATCATGCTGTCACAACAATTAATGTGACTATCATAAAGGCAAGCTTTCAAGGCATCTACGCTGGAATTTCTATGGAAATAATGGTTCTTTTTCACCTAAAACTTTAAAATTCAGGATTTCTTTTGTGTGCCATGCTTAGAGGTCTGACATTATAAAGAGAACAAATATCTTACATCAAACAACACAAGCAATCAGAGAGTTCAAACTCATGAAATGTTAAATTTTAACTTGGTGACCTTTCCTTGGTGACCTACCTATCAACATTGCTGTTGGAATGAAAAATGTTATGCATAACTTTTCATTCTATTTTCTGATCACAATCATAATTTTCAAAAGTTCACATTTATTTTAAATACATAAGACTTAGTAAAATGTTAAGACTGATCTGGATTACTGAATCATTTGTACTACTGTATTCTCAATTGAAATTTGTTTTGTTTTGTATGTTTGCTTGGTTACTTTATTACATGCATCAGTTGCTGCAAACTGACAGCAGTCAGCATGCTCATTATAGAGTGTTTCACATCAGGGTTGTTTAAGGGGTGGTGGGGTAGCTTAGTGGTTAAAGCGTTGGCTCGTGACGCCGAAGACCCGGGTTCGATTCCCCACATGGGCACAATGTGTTAAGCCCATTTTTGGTGTCCCCCGCCGTGATATTGCTGGAATATTGCTAAAAGCGGCGTAAAACTAAGCTCAGTCAGTCAGTCAAGGTTGTTTAAGGTTCAGGGTTGTTAAAGGTTCACGGTTGATTGAAGGTTCATTAGGGGCAGTGGGGTAGCCTAGTGGTTAAAAGCGTTCACTCGTCATGCCGAGGACCTGGGTTTGATTCCCCACATGTATACATGGAAGGAATATTGCTAACAGTGGTGTAAAACCAAACTCACTGACTCACTCACAAAAGTTCATTACGTCAAAAGACATCAGTATTGGAGAAAGTGAAGATGATGTAGAGATATTTTGGTGTTGAAGACAGCATATCTATTTTCATTTTGCAAAATATATCCAAGGATAGTCAATGAACAAGAAAAATCTAAAACATGAACAGGCATGTCAACATATATCTGTTGTTTACTTTAGTATCTACATATATCATATGACAAACAAGTCATGAAGAACTAATTTGACTGATTAAATATTGAAATTTGAAAAATCACCATCTAATGCAGCTCAGAAATCCACAACTCTAATATGAGCCCCTCCTTGATCAATAATACTCCCACAGAGTGACTTTTTTACATTTCATTACCCTTTCAAGGGGAAAGGAGGAAGAAAGATTACATTGATTTTTGTATTATTGTATGTCAGTTATGAATCTGAATGAATATTCAGGAACTGATCACCTGGCTATGTCACCTGTAAACAATTTTGATCAATGAGTTACAGTTGCTTTTTACATGGTATGTATAATGAATTATAGCCATGTTTGAAGTAGGATAATGAATGCAAATGTTATTCATGCTGAGAGGTTTCATCGAACAGAATTCCAAATAACAGGAAGCAGATGGAGTTTTGTTGTTTTCCTTTATTGTTTTAAAAAGTCTTCTGCATCCCAAGACTGTGAACATAAACAAGTGATACTTCTTATGTTTGAGCCGAAGACCCGGGTTCGAATCCCCACATGGGTACAATGTGTGAAGCCCATTTCTGGTGTCCCCTGCCGTGATGTAGCTGGAATATTGCTAAAAGCGGGGTAAAACCAAACTCAGTCAGTCAGTCAGTCTTATGTTTGATTAAGGTCATGTTGTTTACAGAATGAGTTTCCTAGATTCGACCAATCATTGCCCAATATCACCTGGAAACATGTCTTTGATGCCTCTGTATCAGTGTGTATCTCAGATGATAATCATAACTTATAGAGTCAGTACCAAAAAGAGCATTAGATGTGTTGGAAAAATGGTCCAAATCTTTCCCAAATCTTAGGCCAGACTGCTGCAAACATAATTTTCAATATAAAGTTAAAAACAAGATGACTATAGTCCTGCTTGATGTATCGATGAGTTAAGAAAATGTTGGCATCAATTCAGATTAAACTAGACAATCAGTGGAGTTCAATATCAGGGAAAACAATCCTTTCTGTGTACTCACAAAAATCTTCCAAAGAAAACGTCGGTCAGCCATTTTTACAACAGTCCGGAAGTACACGACACTACATATGACGTCATAAGACATATGACGTCATGCACAGCGGGGGCAATGGGCCTATGACGCTGAACAATGCTTTTCTCCTTTCAGCAAAACGTCACTCGTTATCTCGGATAAAGTTGGCTGTTCCCGGGTCCTTTTGCGAGTCGTCAGCTTGCGATATGCTCTCATGTTTCGCCTTAGCTGCACTTGGATGAGCTTGCTCATCTGAGAAAGATGTACAGTCCATACTGCATGCGATCAAAAATTTCCCGACCATCATCTCTCACATCCGACAAGGCGACATTTATTGGAGTTATCTGCCCTTTGTCATTCGTTTATTTGATCATAGTTCATATAAATAAACTCGTATTCCAGCCAAGTCTTGACTAATTTGATCATAATGGCAAGAAATATATGCAACGGTTTCATAATCGTTGATTATACATGAACTGTATAATATAACATGTACGCGGTGTATCATTTGATACTGCTTAGAAACCAAACACAATATCAAAACACGGAGGCCACTGAATTATGACAGGTAACATGCGAAGGTATTAAGTAACAATGCCATTTCTGTGAATGTCACGAGAAGCTACTATGAGAATAGTCGGTGGCCTAATAATGAAAATATTAACAAGAAATACGTCGCGTTTTGTCATACACTCTTGAAATACAAAGTATCGTTTCTTGAATGGATATTATCACACTCAACCCGTGAAGATCCGGGTTAGAACTGATATTCAGTAACCCATGTTTGTCGTAACAGGCGACGAACGGGATCGGGTGGTCAGGCTCGCTGACTTGGTTGACACATGTCATCATATCCCAATTTCGTAGAACGATGCTCATGCTGTTGACCACTGGATTGTCTAGTCCAGACTCGATTATTTACAACTATAGCTAGAATATTGCTGAGGGTGGCGTTAAACAACAAACCAAACAAACAAACCTAGTGTCACACGCGTATGGTGGTAAATAATTTAGTCTTGACCAGTGATCAATAAACTGAGGGGTACGAGAATACACACTCGTCAACAATCGTGACATTCCGGCTCAGCAGGCCGCCAAGAACCAGCATGGGCTACTGGGGACTTTCTCACAGCCAGAATCAAGGATGTAAGTAATTCAGGTTATGTTACATCCATGGAATTGTGAAACTTTGAAGGAACAAGATAGCTGATAAGATTTCTTCTGTGTATGAATGTGATTATTTTCTTAAAACTTATTGTTGTCAATAAGAGACGTCATTAAAATAAGTCTCTACTTCCCTGTCAAATCAACAAAATGAGAGTCGACCTGAATAACTGATTTTACATAATGTTCGAACAGAACGGCTTCAATCACGCATTGCATGATATTAGAAGTCAAAAGCGACTTGTCGAAATTTCAAGTAGCTTGATCTCTATCATATTTGCGTAACTTTTAGGAAATAAAGACAAACACGAGATAATTCTCACGAGTGGTTCACGTAGAGTGCACAGTTTACAGATCGTTAAACTGAGAAAGGCGGTTACCCTTTGGTTATCTTTGAGCCGAGTGTCGTTAGCTATGGATTAAAAAACTCGGGTTTCTGGTACAGTGTGCTAAAACCACTCTTCACGTCTCCGCCATATATGGCGAACATTACGACACTGGCTCAAAAAAGTGTGTGAGTTTAGTTTTACGCCGCTTTTAGCAATATTCCAGCAATATCACGGAACGCCAGACACCAGAAATGGGCTGCACACATTGTAACCATGTGAGGAATCGAACCTGGGTCTTCGGCGTGACCGGCGAACGCTTTAACCACTTAGCTACCCTACTGCCCGACAAAGCAAAGAGTACACTCATGTTTGATGGAGTCTTAAAGATAACAACATAGAAGAAACGGGTATTCGGGAAATGTATTTAACACGGTAATTATAGTTGTATTTTGCACATGAAGTTTTACAATGTTTTGCTGATTTCGGTAACGCTTGTTATCGTTTGGTCAAGATCAAGTTCAAAGTGTATACTAACATTTGACCGGCAGTTTAAAATGTTCACTCACTTATTCATCATCGTGAGATGGAAATGTGATAATAATTAATGTCCTACTTCGTCACTGAGTGTTTAATAATGTTTTGACTGACATAACCGGATGCCGATTGCAATACATTTACAGTCTTCAATGTACCGGGGTAGCTGTAGTTTTTAAACATGTTCTATAAGTGAATTATTTGGCTGCCATGGTTAACGTTTCACACTCATGCATTGCATAGTGCTGTTTAGCTTTCCACACGTGAAGGTCCGGATTAGAATGAACCTTCAGTAACCCATGCCTGTCGTAAGAGGCGACTAACGGGATCGGTTGGTCAGTCTCTGGTCAACCCGTGAAGATCCGGGTTAGAACTGATCTTCAGTAACGTTTACCCATGCTTGTCGTAAGAGGTGACTATCCCAATTGCGTAGATCGATGCTCATGCTGTTGATCCCTGGATTGTCTGGTCCAGACTCGGTTCTTTACAGACCGCTGACATATAGCTGGAATATTGCTGAGTGCGGTGTAAAACTAAACTCACTCACTCACTTTACCCTGGTCCGGCTTGAGGTGAAGTGAATTGGGGCTTAACAGGGATACCCCTCCCCGACACGTTCGAGGCGACCAGTCGATGTTTTGTCTCGTAATTCTGTGCTCCAACAAGTCTCATCTTTAAAATTCTTTACGTATGACGAGTATCGAACCACGACCCTGTCGCCCCCTGGGTAGTCTAGATTGAGGCGGCCAGGAGATACTGTGTTGTGTTGTGTTAAAATGTGGGATGGTGTGAAGGATAAAACATTGATCTTTCTGTACAAGAAGGTCATCGGAGGGCATAACGCTGATTTGAAACTGCAAGTTTCATAAACCGGTGCTAACTTTCGGCTAGTGCTGTGATCCAGTTACAAAAACATTTTTCAATAAATCATCTTCTTCCATATCAAGCACTTTATTTTGTCTTTGTATCCGAGTGATATACAAAGCTGTAACGTAAAACATTTTTGTCACATTTAATATGTGCTTTATTTTGTTATTTCTTGAAAAGCAGTCTTGTAATTTATATGTGGTGTAAAATACAGGTGATTGTATGACATTGTACGACCGCTTCAGTTCATTTGTCACCTTTATCCAAAAGGCGGTCGGTCTGGGATTAGGGGATAGTTTACGTGAACATCAACGTACTGTTAAGGAAATCGGTGCCGCAGTACTGTCATATCACATTCAATGCAGTGAAGTCGGGTTTAACCTCAGGCTTACCATTATTGCACGTTTAGTATGTTGCCTTCACTGGTCCCAAACAAAGCCAACTTTGATGTGCTAGCTCATTTGTACCGTACTTTATCGGGGATACCTCACTAAGACACAATATTTCGACTTCTCGACAACCGGTTACGTATCCACTCAGTGCAGGACGCCGGAGAGTGAAGCTGGTTGATTTTAGGAACGTTTCAAGATGAGTGGGACTTATCTACCGTGATTTTGAACTTGACAGAAAATAGTCCCGAAGAGAAATTCAGACAATATGTAATATGTGCCTGTAAATATTGTAATTCCACACTGAAATGTGCAAAAGCTATCCTAGTTTGGTGGACATTTGGTTGAATCTTATATATAAATGAAGCATGTTCTCATGTGGCCTATGACGAAACATTTGGCCACTTGAGTTATCGAATCCGCTTCAGTTGTGTAGTGGTTAGAGCATCCGCCCGGAGAGCGGAATGTCTCGGGTTCGATCCCGACCGCGTCATACCAAAAGACGTTAATATATGGTACTTGATGGTCCCTGCCTGGCGTTCGGCATTAATGGGTACAAGGACTGGTCGACTCGGAGTCAGTATAATGTGTCTGAGTGGGGTATTCATGCTTCACTGCGGCATGGTATCTCAGTGGGCTAGCACTATAAAACCAGCTTAAGTCTGGGCTAGTACAAGCAGCCGCACATACACATACACACGCATGCACGTCGTCATATGAGCGAAATATTCTCAAGCACGACGTTAAACCCAATTTCACCTCACCTCATCTGATTTGTGGCTTCCGTGGGAAGTTTGGATCTTTCTGGGACTCACAACCTACTACATACGCTTTCCTGGCCGTTTAACAGATCTAACCAGATCCCTCCACTGCCCCACAGATACTTCTTGCCTCACCTGGGGTCAAGAGTTATACAGAATGCATGTGACGAATCCGTAAAGCTTGTGAATAAAGAGTTGACCAATCCAAGTCACGACTTACAAACAATGACAGCAGGTCTGATTTTGTCAGGGACAAAGCATTAGGCTTTTTTAACAGGGGAACAGTGGACTTTCTTCCAAGTTAGATGAAGTGGTCCAAGCCCTTTCCCATATAAACATAACTGACGTTATAATCATGATTTTGCAAATTTTAAATGACTTTCTGAATTCTTTCTTCTTGTTCCCTAATGAAGAAAAAATAAAAGCTGAATGAACTTGAACTTAAACAAACCTACTGTAATTGTTTGAAACTTGTAAGTGTGATTGGTGAGTGAATGTGTTGTGGGGTCTTGTGTTGTTGTTGTTTTGTGCTTTGTTAGAAAAAAACATCCTGTTTTTCTGTTCTCAAAGTTCTCTTGCAAAAGGCCCTAGAGTCCCTTGGCTTTATTGCCTTTTATTGTAACAGGGGAAACAGGAAATACAAATTGTCAATAATAAAAAAAATAACTGACGTTATTTACAGATTTTAGTATGAGTCGGGCAGCAAGCCACGCGACTGACTCGAGTCCTATATTGCCTCTGTGAAGTGGTTACTGCAATGGTTGGGGCGGTGGGGTAGCCTAGTGGTTAAAGCGTTGGCTCGTCACGCCGAGGACCCGGGTTCGAATCCCCACATGGGTACTATGTGTGAAGCCCATTTCTGGTGTCCCCCGCCGTGATATTGCTGGAATATTGCTAAAAGCGGCGTAAAACCAAAACTCAGTCAGTCAGTCAGTACTGCAATGGTGACCGTTATTAAATATCTATAAAAAGTGGAGTACCCTGTTTCAGATGACTTGCTTGTTGGAGGGCGTCACAGTGTTATTTCGTCAAGTAATCACTCAAGACAAGTTATACAAACACAGATCGGAGCAAATTAAACTATCCGGATTGTGACTGTCAAAAGACATGCGTTATCACTACTGAAACAAGGGCGCCCGGACCCAACCAGTACTAGAACCAGCACCAGTGCCAGAACATGCTGCCGACCCGTGAAGATGCGGGATAGAATTGGTCTTCAGTAACCCATGCTTGTCGTAAGAGGCGACTAACGGCTCACTGATTTGGTTGACACATGTCATCATATCTCAATTGCGCAGATTGATGCTCATGCTGTTGATCACTGGATTGTCTGGTCCACACTTGATTATTTACATAACGCCCCCATATAGCTGGAAAATAGTGTGGCATTAAAAAACAACCAAACCATTCTTGTCGTAAGAGGCGACTAACGGCTCGCTGACTTGGTTGACAAATGGCATCGTATCCCAGTTGCATAGATCGATGCTCATTATGTTGATCACTGGATTGCCTGGCTCAGGCTCGATTATTTACAGGCCGTCATATAGCTGGAATATTGCTTAGTGCGGCGTAAGACTAGACTCACTCACTCCCATGATGTCGTGCCAGCACTTGTATCAGAGCCTGATCAACGTTTCTTGCTACGATAGTGTTACTCTACTGGATGTTACAAGCGATTCACTCAAACTGGACAATTTTATTTTATGTGATTAACCAAATGCCAGAAGAGAAATTGAGAGCATCAGACAATTATTATCATCTGTACACCTATCACGGTATGTGTATATAACGGAACGTTTGGAACTTCGTTGCATTACGCCATTTTTAAATTTGAAAGCGTGACTGGACTGGTGCGTCACACAAAGTTTATTCTCGGGAGTCTTTGAAATTTAACTAATAGTTGTGAAGTTTGAATTTGCCAAATTTCCACGGGTAGCGGAGAGGAAAGTGCTTGATGTAGTAATCAATTCTGGAACTTGGATGATATCACAAGAAACCAAGAATTAAAGAGCTAGCCGGGCTGACAATATTAGCAGGTGCGCTTGTAGAAGTAGGAGCTGTGGTGATGGTGTTAGTGTTTTGATGTGTCTCTGATTTGAATGGCAATCTCCGCTGTAACTCCTGACAGAGGCCTCATCCCTGGGCCCTGTCATGACCATGATGTGACGTTATGGTAGCTCAACCCTTTCATCACTTAGGTTTTGGATGGATGTGTGTAGGAAATGCTGCACCCTGTTTCGGGAAATCACTGGGCTTACAAGTCAGGGGCGGATACAGATTTTATAGAAAAAAGGGGGGTGGGGTGTCACACTATTGAAAAAAAGAGGGGTGCACACTTCATTTTCACCCGAGTTTCAATGGTCATTTAAAACAAACTTTCAGCACAAAGGGGGGGGGGGGGATGCGCGCACCCCTGCACCCCCCTCTGGATCCGCCTATGCAAGCGTATCAGACATCAGTATTTTTGGCCTGCAAAAAATGCATTTTAATCAGGATGTCGGTGTGGTAACATTTTTTGAGTGATTCAAGCATATAATGTGTTTCTCCCCCCGAGGCATATAATTTGTTTGTCAATGATGTCAGCAGTTTGAGCTTTGACTCTAGGAAAACGTGTCACGGGAGAATTTCGCCCAAGCTGGTGACCTGTCTGTGACAGTTTATGTTGTTCGAGGAAGCACTCCTATAATCACCTCAATGGCAGGCCTGTCAGAGCCTCGGCTATTCACAGAGACACACACAATCTCCCAATTTCCAGATGCCAAGACGTCACTATCAAATAGGCTACTGACCTTTCTTCTGTGAAACTGTGAAACATTACGTTTTCGATTCAAGACAATGGATATTGCTGTTTAATCTGTAAAATTCGGAAGACTGATGACAAGCAGAATGTTATCCCTGCGTTTTCAACTTTTCATATTAGTTACAGTCTCAAAATAAAGAAAATAAAGACACGCAAAAGTGGAATAGTGGACAAATCTGACAGAACTTTTAATACTACACATAAATTTCTCTGTCTGTATGCATTGTGAGTGATTTGTGCGGGTAGAATGAAGTACGGCCAAAAATACCGAAATGTTTTATGAGAAACGCATCCACGTGTGGCCGCCAATCTCGCCAACATGAAATGTACGTGCAACATGAATTCATACGCTATGAAAACGATGGGTAATCATTTGCCTGTCATCACAACTGTTCAGCAAGTGAAAAGGGAAAGCATGCCACGACTGACTACGTGACTGGTAAAGCAGAGTTTACCAAATATTCACAGATAAAGCTACTCTCCTAATTTCCGATGCCCCAAGAACATCGTGTGTGTGAAGATCAGTTGTGTTGGAAAGCTGTAAGAACTGAACCATCCTCTTATTAATATCTAGTCATAACTATCCCAGTCGTGTTTACGTAGTCGGTACACTTTGCTACGTGTCTCATCATGTTTGTCGACCCGTGAAGATCTGATCTTCAGCAACCCATACTTGTCATAAGAGGCGACTAACGGGATCGGGTGGTCAGGCTCGCTGACCAAACTCACTCACTCACTCAACTCAGCGCAAATAATCGGTGCTGAATATATATCATGAATATTTGCTCATGATGGTAATGACGTCACTCCAAATTCCGCCTGTATTCGGAGGTGGTATATAAAGACATGCATTTCTATCTTGGGGTTAGCAGTCACATTTTGTCAGAGATAATTTTAAGATTATCAGAATACGTTCGGATCCTTCCCATTTCGACTTCCAACTGAGTAGATAGGCGTGTCCTCAAGATTATGTTTAACTGATGCACGTTCAGTGAAATAACATACCATTACAAACACAATATGCTTGTGAAATATATATTTTGAAATATATACACTGCTGGAAAAAGTAAGTAATACTATCCACTGATATTTAATGTTTGCTTGGTGGTTATGCGATAGTGATGGGTTTCAAACGTTTATCGTATGCCTGTGATCTGATATTTCTGCTATTGTTTTCAGCGTTGTAAAGTTTTGATGATGTTTGTAATGTTTTAGTCGAATAGTTTCGTTTTAACCGGCAGTATATAAATCATTATAATAACAAGGACGTACACTTCTCTTTATAAAATCCAAATTGACAATTCTGATTTAACATGAAACCTGTTTTCAAGGACGTCATGGGCTGGATGACCTAAAGGAATTCGGGACCAAGAATAGAATTGAAATGCCACAACGGAATGCCCTTTCTATACACGACAACAGTGACAACACATTCTGTCTGGTCTCACTTCAGTTTTCTAACTACAGCACTCTAATACAAGTTTTAATACAGAGGTGAATCATATTGCATTGCCTGTCACCTTCTGAACGTTTCCGTTCAGTAATATTATGAATATACTTACATAGTTACTGATTCCGGGAATTCGTTATGATTTGATTACGGGGTATATATTATCATATTCACGTATATATTGATCAGAATAATGTTAGTAATACCTGTTCCTTCTTGAGTATCATGAATCTATATAACAAGTAACATACACAAGTATTATATATTCCTAAAGCTGTGAAAGTAACATTTCCATATACCAATACAACAATCCTCTTAAACGCATATTACATGAACCCATATGAATCATTTATGTATCTATACTACAGTCCGTTTGGCTCAAAAGCGGACCGATGAATTGCAATCTAACTCGAAAACTAATAAACATGACATACTCAATGAAACGTTGATCATAATCAAAACATCATACCCACTCTGTGAGGTTTTTGTAGAATTTTTGTCCTAAAAATAATAAAGTTGTTTAACAAATTATCATTAAAATATTGACACAGTTCACTGTTTGTTACGGGGGAGGAGTGCAGAGAAAGGGACAGCCAGGTGTTCGAGAAGCACGTTCACAGACAAAGTTATTTATTCATTAACCTGTGCTGTGCCGTCTCCATCCGTTCTCGAACACCTGGCTGTCCCTTTCTCTGCACTCCTCCCTCGTAACAAACAGTGAACTGTGTCAATATTGTAATGGTAGTTTGTTAAACAACTTTTTTATTTTTAGGACAAAATTCTGTAAAAACCTCACAGAGTGGGTATGATGTTTTGATTATGATCAGCGTTTCATTGAGTATTTTATGTTTATTAGTTTTCGAGTTAGATTGCAATTCATCGGTCCGCTTTTGAGCCAAACGGACTATATATGGCACCGACATAAGCCAGTTTCGCTTTTGTCTGCTCTATCTTGAAACATGGATAGGTCGGCCCTATAGCTGTTCGAGCTAGCTGCTGATTGTCTTGTGTGGTGTGGTCAGTGTTTGGCGACCACAGCAGTGTCCCCACCACTGTGGCCTCATCCCGCATAACGATCTTAGCACTAAGACTTACGTAACTGTATAAAGGCGTACGACCGTCTTTGTGGAAGATCGTTATCCGGAACAAGTAGCTCTAGCCAAACAGAGTCACGAATTCATCGAAGTCCAACTTCCCGTCACCGTTGACGTCAGCTTTGGAAATGAGACTGTTCACCTCCGACATCGACAACGACCGTCCACATTTGGTCAGCACGGCCTTTAGTTCGTCAGCGTCCAGAAGACCATTGCCATCCTTGTCGATCTGGTCAAACGCTTGTCTCATCTCGCCATGCCTGAAAAGTCGTGTTCACAGTGAAAGTAAATACTATCCACACCTCCCCTTCCTTTCAAACAGGGGCAATGTGGTCGCCTAGTGGCTTAAGCGTTCACTCGTCACGCCGAAGACCCCGGTTCGATTCCCCACATGGGTACAATGTGTGAAGCCCATTTCTGGCATCCCCGCCGTGATATTGCTGGAATATTGCTGAAAGCGGCGTAAATTCACTTACTTACTCACTAACCCCTTTCAAACAATCGTTCACATGTAATCACCATATAGTGTAATTTCATAATAAATACATTTTAAAAAATATACTCAGCAGCAAAAATCACGTCAGTACGAATTCAAAATTAGATAGGCACCGTAATCAAATCATTACAGAAATGGACATATTAAGCGGATCAAAAACATTTTTGTGTACAATATCTTGACACATCAATGAATAACTCAGCACAATTCTTAAGACATTACGTGAACCGTTTGCAGTCCATACAAACTCTTGACTCAGTATCTAGTGTGACCACCACGAGCGGCAATAACGGCAGCACAGCGTTTATGCATGGAGTGCACCAATCGATTGATGAAGGCCATTGGCACCTGGAACCACACTCTGAGAAAGGCCTGGTGCAATAAATCGGCTGTGTTCGGCCTTGGTATGACATTATTCAGTCTCCTCTGAATTTCATCCCAAAGATGTTCAATTGGGTTTAAATCAGGACTAAGGGCTGGCCACTGCATAATGTTGACACCGTTCTGCTGTAGGCAGTCCCGTGTAGCTCTGGCAGTATGGGCCTGGGCGTTATCATGCTGGAAAATGTTGTTCCGGTGACGTGCGACATGTAGCATGGCGTTCGGTCTGAGAGCTTGGTCGATGTAGCGCACCGCTGTGATGCCGCCGGCTCTCCCTGGACCAAGTTTCTGGAACACCACAGGACCCACTCTCTGGTTCAGGCCTTTTCCACCCCATACCATGATGCTTGCACCTCCCCATGAGTCTCTTTCCATAACACATTGGTCTGAGTAACGCTGGCCACGTCGTCGCCATATTCTTGTTCTGCCATCTGCAGTTGATACGCAGTACCGACTCTCATCCGTGCTCAGAACAGTTCTCGATTACCTGTATCGCCAGTTTTGGTGTTGTAGGGCAAACTGTAGACGTTCACGCCGATGACGAGGGGTGAGGATCGGTCCACGTGAGTAACGCTGGCCACGTCGTCGCCATATTCTTATTCTGCCATCTGCAGTCGATACGCAGTACCGACTCTCATCCGTGCTCAGAACAGTTCTCGATTACCTGTATCGCCAGTTTTGGTGTTGTAGGGCAAACTGTAGACGTTCACGCCGATGACGAGGGGTGAGGATCGGTCCACGATAAGGTCTACGGCAATGGAGGTTCCCGCTGTTATGACGTCGGCGTACTGTATCGGTACTGATTGGTCTTCCGTGTGTTCCCACTGTCTGGCGTGCTGTTTCGGATGCCTGCATGAAGGGTTCTGTATATGCTGTCGCACAACATGGCGGTCTTGTAGTCTTGTGGTCACCCTTGGTCTGCCAGTACTGGGCGATCATTTGTGGTGTTGGTGGCCCGGAAACGTTGCTGCAGCCTGTAGATGGTCCGAACGTTGACCTGGAAGTGATTGGCAAGGGCTTGTGCAGTGTGGCCAGCTTCAAGTCTTCCTAGCGCCTGGTTCCTCTGAGCTGTCGTGAGTCGCGGCATCCTGCTGACGTTGTAATGTGAATGTTTCAACCAGGTTTGGGGGTGCATTTTATAGGGCTGGTCCTAGTGATCAGCACGTGCAGCATGAGTTGCATGAAAAACATGGAGAACACCGTACAATCTCCTAGATCAGGTTGCGTTTTTGAGACCATTTCCTGGGTTCAATTCTGAGTTTGGGCAGGAATGTCTTGCTCAGGTGAAGTTGGAGATGTTGTCAAAAATATACAATCAAAACATTAAATGAGTTTACAGTTATCCGTTTCTGAGAAGGAAAATTCCAAACTGACGTTTCTTTTGCTGCCTAGTATATAAATCATACACAGATTTGCCTGCAGGTTTCTGAAATTATGAAGTTTACTATTAGTTTACAAAGATATTCATATGAACATGGAGTCCAAGGTTCACATTCTTGTCCCCTGGTATTATAACTACTTGTTAACACGCAATATCGTGAAACAAGGCTGGTTTACAAACACATGAAAAACAATCTTATTGACAGCGTTCGGTCTCCAATGTAAACTACTGCGCTGTGAAACGAAGCCCTGTATTGACATTGTACGTAATCTCCCTCCAGCCATGACGAATGGGGCGGTGCATTAACGCGGGGTTTACTGTGTGGTGGATTTGAGGTTTCAAATAACCAGTTCGGGGAAATGGGTGGATTCAAGTCTTTTACGAGTATGAGGTAATACAGTGCAATTCTTGCTGTACAAAAATACCAAATAGCCAGGGGCCCGTTTCACAAAGCGCTAAGACTGTCGTAAGTCTAGATTAAAGTATGGGAGTTACGATCACCTTAGCGCTACGATCGCTTTGTGAAATCGTCCAGAACAGTAATAAAGAATAAACTGATACACGATGAAAACATTCCAAACATATAATAACTAGCTTGTATGTTGTTGGACGCCACAATAATGTCCATCTGATCATAGTGACCCTAGTCTAATGGAGCTTAGACATAGCAATGGTGTTACTTTAACAGTGCTGAGAAAGTCACGCCTACTCATCCATGCACATATACTTATCATTATCAATACGGCAATAAGGGAGATGGGGTAGCCTAATGGTTAAAGCGTTTGCTCGTGACGCCGAAGACTGATTCCCCACATCGGTACAATGTGTGAAGCCAATTTCTTGTGTCCCCGACGTTATATTGCTGGAATATTACTAAATGCGGCGTAAAACTAATCTCACTCACTCACTCACTCAATTAGGCCATAAAATGACAACCTGTAGGGGTGTGACTGTAGGCAACATAAACAGTAATGTCTGTGTGCAAAGCATTTTATATTTGGTGCATTCCATAGTATGTGTGAATCCCACACTGTTGTTATGTACACGGCTCGGTATGTGTGTCTGAACGATTAACAATGAATCAACTCAAACGTTAAAGTAACTGGGGCGGTGGGGTAGCCTAGTGGTTAAAGTGTTCGCTCGTCACGCCGAAGGCCCGGGTTCGATTCCCATCACAATGTGTGAAGTCCATTTCTGGTGTCCCCCGCCGTGATATTGCTGGAATATTGCTAAAAGCAGCGTAAAACCCAACCCACTCACTCACTAACTTTTTGTAACTAATGTAAGAATGGAAGTAAAGGTTGAAATATACTCAAACACAAAAGTAGCGGATCATGTAAACACATGTAAATTTAAACCTAATGGTCATTGTTATATTGACTATTTCGCTTCATATATTGAAACTATTCTAACTGTATACAAATAAGGACGTATTATCAAGACATATTCTAAAATGTCGTTTTAAAGTTCGACACAACCGAAGGAAGCGACTAAATACTAAGCAACCAAGCATTTACATACATACGTACGTACGTACATACATACATACATACATACATACATACATACATACATACATACATACATACATACATACATACATACATACATACATACATACATACATACATACATACATACATACATACATACATACATACATATGCGAGTCATTAAATCGAAATAACCTATGAATATGGAAATGTTTGTTGTAGCTTATATTAATCAAATATATTATCAACAGTGCATGGGTTAAAAGACAGGATTTAAAATACGTGACAGAGCAGCAGGGATCTGAAATACACCTCTGATTACATTATACATTATCTGTATGGAAGTTCCCCTCAAAATAAAAGACCGCCTCCGTGGCGTAGTGGTTAGAGCGTCCGCCCGGAGAGCGGAAGGTCGCGGGTTCGATCCCCGACCGCGTCATACCAAAAGACGTTAAAATATGGTACTTGTTGGTCCCTGCCTGGCGCTTGGCATGAATGGGTACAACAAGGACTGATCGGCTCGGAGTCAGTATAATGTGTCTGAGTGGGGTATTCATGCTTCATTGCGGCATGGTATCTCAGTGAGCTAGCACTATAAAACCAGCTTAAGTCTGGGCTAGTACAAGCAGCCGTACACACACGCATGCACGTCGTCATATGAGCGAAATATTCTCAAGCACGACGTTAAATTCAATTTCAACTCAACTCAAAATAAAAGCGACAAAACCAATTCAAAAAAGAAAAGTCCCGGTTAAAAGAAGATGTATATAAGTAAGCAGAGGCGCACGTGTGTGTAAAGTTTTCACGTTTCACTTAAAACACCCCACCCCTTTCATATTGGTTCTCGAGCTACATTGTTTCAGGGCCTCTCTGACTGATCTGAGAAATAGTAGCGACAAAACCCTTTCCACATAAATAAGAAATCTCTTCTAAAAGCAGAGTCGATTGTATATCATGAATATATATTTGTTTCAGCAGTATTGCAGCTGTACGATGATGTTTGTAAACAAGTCGAGTCTGCACTAGACAATCCAATGCTTGTCTGACTTGGATAATTATGTGTCTTCGACCCAGCCTAGAGGATCGTTGGTACTGACATCTACCAAACCTTCCAACATAAACATCCGTGTGTACTACAATACCCTACACGATAAACACGCAGTACGTATGGTTTTATACCCGTGAACCCCTCATGCCATATTAAAGGATACTCACGAGCGTTTTTCCTGTTGAATGTTTGGCATGGCAGCCAGGAATTCATCCAATGTAATCTTGAAGTTACCGTCTGTGTCCATGGACATGAACAGATCCTAAGAAATGAAACATTTCCTTTGTTAAACTTCTTTGAGAGGCATTTAGAAGTTGGGGTAGTAGGGAAGGATAATGATATAAGGAGTTGTTCAGCGATATATTGTCACCCTTCTTTGTTTAACGTTGAGTGAGAAATTCTGTCACAGAGACGATAAAACACTGGTGCTCCTTTTTACAATGACGATATAACACTTGTCCTTCTTTTAACAAAGACGACATAACACGTGCTTCTTTTAATATTGACGATATAACATGTGCTTCTTTTAACAATGACGATATAAAATGTGCTTCTTTTAACAAATACGATTTAACACTTGCTTCTTTTAACAATGACGATATAACACTTGTGCTTAGTTTTACCATGACGATATATAACACCTGTGCTTCTTTTAACACAGACGATATAACACTTGTGCTCATTTTAACAAAACTATATAACACGTGCTTCTTTTAACAAAAACTATATAACAGGTGCTTCTTTTAACAAAGACGATATAACACCAGTGTTTATACCAATGTTGATATGACATTTTTGCTTAGTTTTAGAATGATGATATAACACTTGTGCTTCTTTTAACAAAGACGATATAACACCAGTGCTTCTTGTAACAAAGACGATATAACACCAGTGCTTCTTTTAACGATAAAAGACGATATAACACGTACTTCTGATTTGACAAAGACTATATAACATGTGCTTCCTTTAACAAAAGATGATAACACCAGTGTTTATACCAATGTTGATATGACATTTGTGCTTAGTTTTAGAATGACGTTATAACACGTTATAACACTTGTGCTTCTCTTATAACAAAGACGACATAACACTTGTGCTTCTCTGATAACAAAGACGATATAACACCAGTGGTTCTTGTAACAAAGACGATATAACACCAGTGCTTCTTTTAACAAAGACGATATAACACCAGTGCTTCTTTTAACAAAGATGATATAACACGTGCTTCTTTTAACAAAAACGATATAACACCAGTGCTTCTTTTAACAAAGACGATATAACACCAGTGCTTCTTTTAACAAAGACGATATAACACGTGCTTCTTTTAACAAAAACGATATAACACCAGTGCTTCTTTTAACAAGGGCGATATAACACGTGCTTCTTTTAACAAAGACGATATAACACGTGCTTCTTTTAACAAGGACGATATAACACCTGTGCTTCTTTTAACACAGACGATATAACACTTGTGCTCATTTTAACAAAACTATATAACACGTGCTTCTTTTAACAAAAACTATATAACAGGTGCTTCTTTTAACAAAGACGATATAACACCAGTGTTTATACCAATGTTGATATGACATTTTGCTTAGTTTTGAATGATGATATAACACTTGTGCTTCTTTTAACAAAGACGACATAACACGTGCTTCTTTTAATATTGACGATATAACATGTGCTTCTTTTAACAATGACGATATAAAATGTGCTTCTTTTAACAAATACGATTTAACACTTGCTTCTTTTAACAATGACGATATAACACTTGTGCTTAGTTTTACCATGACGATATATAACACCTGTGCTTCTTTTAACACAGACGATATAACACTTGTGCTCATTTTAACAAAACTATATAACACGTGCTTCTTTTAACAAAAACTATATAACAGGTGCTTCTTTTAACAAAGACGATATAACACCAGTGTTTATACCAATGTTGATATGACATTTTTGCTTAGTTTTTGAATGATGATATAACACTTGTGCTTCTTTTAACAAAGACGATATAACACCAGTGCTTCTTGTAACAAAGACGATATAACACCAGTGCTTCTTTTAACAAAGACGATATAACACGTACTTCTTTTGACAAAGACTATATAACATGTGCTTCCTTTAACAAAGATGATAACACCAGTGTTTATACCAATGTTGATATGACATTTGTGCTTAGTTTTAGAATGACGTTATAACACTTGTGCTTCTCTTATAACAAAGACGACATAACACTTGTGCTTCTCTGATAACAAAGACGATATAACACCAGTGGTTCTTGTAACAAAGACGATATAACACCAGTGCTTCTTTTAACAAAGACGATATAACACCAGTGCTTCTTTTAACAAAGATGATATAACACGTGCTTCTTTTAACAAAAACGATATAACACCAGTGCTTCTTTTAACAAAGACGATATAACACCAGTGCTTCTTTTAACAAAGACGATATAACACGTGCTTCTTTTAACAAAAACGATATAACACCAGTGCTTCTTTTAACAAGGGCGATATAACACGTGCTTCTTTTAACAAAGACGATATAACACGTGCTTCTTTTAACAAGGACGATATAACACCAGTGTTTCTTTTGACAAAGACGATATAACACGTGCTTCTTTTAACAAAGACGATATAACACCAGTGCTTCTTTTAACAAAGACGATATAACACGTGCTTCTTTTAACAAAGACGATATAACACCAGTGGTTCTTTTGACAAAGACGATATAACACCAGCGCTTCTTTTAACAAGGACAATATAACACTAGTGATTACTCTAACAATGACGATATAACACTACTAAATCTGAATAAATGCTGACATAACATTACTGATATAGTACCAGTTGTGTAACAATGAGTGACAAAATGTACAATACACTGGCTGCTTCACATCAGTTCCCCTTCGTGTCGATACTCACCACAATCTGTTGTCGCGTCATGTCGAACTTGAGTTTTTTGCACAAGGCAGCCAGTTCATCCAGGGTGATGTAACCGTTCCCATCGGTGTCCACCTGGTGGAAAAACCTGGTGTACAGCAGTTTCTCATTCTGAGACAGATTGGACATCGCTCGGACTCGGACAGAGACTTATGTTTCACCGTTGTTGTACAGGACGACAGCCTAATGCGTCGTTGTCTGCTATATATATCTTATATATCTTACTTCCTGGTTGACAAGTCACTACTGTTGGCGTACACAGTCGGTATACTCTCGTAATATTGGTTAAGAACAATACCCCCAATATGGCAGCTATATCGCAATTAATATTTAAGACACTTATTCGAGGCAGTTCGTCACTTACTAGTAATTAGTTAGATCATGATGACTCGTATTAAACTAATTTTGTATATTGGTTCAATCACATTTAAGGACCCTGACAGAATCCTTGAGGACACCTTGGTCTTAACCCCAGTTATTACGAAGTACGGATAAGTCGATGGTTCTCGATGGTGACATGTACTTCCCGTTTGGGCCGTTCGTGCTGATCACAACACATATGTACTTTACATACTTCAAGTATTGAGACATTGAAAAAATAAATGCTATTTTTTGACTGATAAGAGTGTATCCCGAACTTGCTAAATATGGCTGCATTAATGTATTAACTTGACACATACTCCATACAATCTGGATGTGTGAATGTTTTGAAAGGCATTTAGAAGTTGGATGAACATGAATACATGACACGTTTTATGAATAACATAATATATTCTTTACACGACGTTTCAGAGCTACTTCTTGATCCTTCATCAGGTGAATACTGAGTCAGTACAAAGAGTGAATATATAGAGATTAAAACATGTTTACACAATACAAAGAAGGAGAATGTACAAAGATAACAATATAATTACAATATAGATATATAGATATATATAGATATATATATATTCACTCTTAGATTAATTAGATCTGAAACGTCGTGTAAAGAATAAAAAAGAAGTTGTTATCCATAAAACGTGTCATGTATTCAATCTGGGCGTGGTGCAGCTGAAGGGGAAAATGCTTTTAAGAAGGCTGTTCAGCTTGACCGCGCAACAACACACTGTCGTAATTTCATGACATATGATATACCAGGTATGACTTGGGAACAGCTCACATAGCTATATGTACACATGCATGACATACTGTACAGTATACAGGAACAGCTCTCACACAGCTATATGTACACATGCATGACATACTGTACAGTACACAGGAACAACTCTCGTACACCTATATTTATACATACATGACATTCTGTACAGTACATAGGAACAGCTCACACACAGCTATATGTACACATACATGACATACTGTACAGTACACAGGAACAGCTTTCACACAGCTATATGTACACATACATGACATACTGTACAGTACATAGGAACAGCTCACACACAGCTATATGTACACATACATGACATACTGTACAGTACACAGGAACAGCTCACACACAGCTATATGTACACATACATGACATACTGTACAGTACACAGGAACAGCTCACACACAGCTATAAGTACACATACATGACATACTGTACAGTACATACGAACAGCTCTCACACAGCTATATGTACACATGCATGACATACTGTACAGTACACAGGAACAGCTCACACACAGCTATATGTACACATACATGACATACTGTATAGTACACAGGAACAGCTCTCACACAGATATATGTATACATACATGACATACTGTACAGTACACAGGAACAGCTCAAACACAGCTATATGTACACATACATGACATACTGTACAGTACACAGGAACAGCTCTCACACAGCTATGTGTACACATACATGCCATTCTGTACAGAACACAGGAACAGCTCAAACAGAGCTATATGTACACATGCATGGCATACTGTACAGTACACAGGAACAGCTCTCACACAGCCATTTGTACACATGCATTACACACTTTATAATACACAGGAACAACTCACACAGCTATATGTACACATACATGACATACTGTACAGTACATAGGAACAGCTCTCACACAGCTATATGTACATATACATGACATACTGTACAGTACACAGGAACAGCTCTCACACAGCCATGTGTACACATGCATTACACACTATATAATACACAGGAACAGCGCACAGAGCTATATGTACACATGCATGACATACTGTACAGTACACAGGAACAGCTTTCACACAGCTATATGTACACATACATGACATATTGTACATTACACAGGGACAGCTCTCACACAGCTATATGTACACATGCATGACATACTGTACATTACACAGGAACAGCTTTCACACAGCTATATGTACACATACATGACATACTGTACAGTACACAGGAACAGCTCTCACACAGCTATATGTACACATACATGACATACTGTACAGTACACAGGAACAGCTCTCACACAGCTATATGTACACATACATGACATACTGTACAGTAAACAGGAACAGCTCACACAGCTATATGTACACATACATGACATACTGTACAGTACACAGGAACAGCTCTTACATACAGGTATATGTACACATACATGACATACCGTACAGTACACATGAACAGCTCTCATACTGCTATATGTACACATACATGACATACTGTACAGTACACAGGAACAGCTCACACAGCTATATGTACACATACATGACATACTGTACAGTACACAGGAACAGCTCTCACACAGATATATGTACACATACATGACATACTGTACAGTACACAGGAACAGCTCTCACACAGCTATATGTACACATGCATGACATACTGTACAGTACACAGGAACAGCTCTCACATGCAGGTATATGTACACATGCATGACACACTATACAGTACACAGGAACAGCTCTCACATACAGGTATATGTACACATGTATGACACACTATACAGTACACAGGAACAGCTCTCACATACAGGTATATGTACACATGTATGACATACTGTACAGTACACAGGAACAGCTCTCACATACAGGTATATGTACACATGCATGACATACTGTACAGTACACAGGAACAGCTCTCACACAGGTATATGTACACATACATGACATACTGTACAGTACATAGGAACAGTTCTCTCATGGGACACATCCAATGCAGTGCATCCTATGTATTAGCTATGTAAACTGATGTTTACCCCGCCGTCAGTTATACTGAATATCTCCCACCTGCCACTGACATACATACTGTAACATCAACAAGTTTGACAAGTTCACGAGGACGTTTTCTTCGTCATTTCCATACCGTGTGCATTTAGGTAGTTACCTTACGTTTTCGCATGCTTCAGTAACCATGAGATGACATGCATATTAATACCCTAAGAGAACGGCTGCTTCAGTAACCATGAGATGACATGCATATTAATACCCTAAGAGAACGGCTGGTTGAAGAGCAATAAATCAAAACACAAGTGCAATGTACATGTGTCGAGAAAACAAAATCCTTGTCACTATGTCCTCGATCAATATACGGTCTACTCGTGAATTACTACTGATAGGTATTATACATTAGCCATTACATGCGACACAGTCTAGACATGGTCTAGACATGGTGGATAGTCTTAGCTGCCCACTTATCAGTAATGTTTCCTTTCTGGAAATGTTCCAGATGTACGGTTAGAAAAGACCCGTTTGAATATGGGTATGTTGATAAGATCCAGTGTGTACAATTTGTTTCATTATTTTTTGCACGACCCCTCTCTCAGCAATATTTCAATTCATGGCGCTGACCTGACAAGATAGTGTGTTTATTTTGTTGCAAGTAATTAAAGTTATCAAAAGTGTTCATGAAGGAAGACATTCTTGTCTAATATCTTAATATGTGAGTGAGTGAGTGACTTTAGTTTTACGCCGCACTCAGCAATGTTCCAGCTGTATGGCGGCGGTCTGTAAATAATCGAGTCTGGACCAGACAATCCAGTGATCAATACCATGAACATCGATCTACGTAATTGGAATACGATGACATGTGTCAGACCAAGTCAGCGAACCTGACCAACCGATCCCGTTAGCCGCCTCTTATGACAAGCATGGGTTGCCGAAGATAATTCTAACCCGGATCTTCACGTGTAATCAGGTCAATACCATACAGCCCAATGACTGATATTATGAAGAACATGCCACCCCATCGGGTACGTCGCTGACACATTAAGGCCCCCTGAACGACAACCATACGTTGATTGGGACCTATTTTAAACCATTTTTCATCCTTGGAAATTAATTGATATTATCTTACCCTTCTTCAAATTTACATATCAAAGACGAAGATGTATAGTGTGGTCACCTCCAAGCTTTGTCGGTCCATTAACATTGTAAGATGTCATAAAATGATAATACATATCACCTTAAAGGGAAGTTTGCTTTATGCATCTTAGCGAACTGCGAACTATTTCATTTCGTTAGCAGGCATTAATTACCAAAGTAAGATATTGTATGATGACAAATTAGTCTGTCTGACAGTCCCTAATGTTTAATATCGTTTCTTTTAGGCCTACTGGATGACTACAGCCCAAATATAGCAAGTCTAGATTTACTGAGGGTCCAGGTATCTTTTACAATTATATGTATTCAGGGACTAAAGCCAGGTCCAGCGACCATATATAACTCGAATGAGTGAGTGAGTGAGTGAGTTTGGTTTTACGCCGCTTTAAGCAATATTCCAGCAATATCACGGCGGAGGACACCAGAAATGGGCTTCACACATTGTGCCCATGTGGGGAATCGAACCCGGGTTGTCGGCGTGAAGAGCGAACGCTTTAACCACTAGGCTACCCCACCGCCCCTGTATTACTCGAACTCCCTTAACTCGATTTACAGATAGGACGATTTAGCGTCATACAGAACCCTCCTCATGGAACTTTGCTACACTGTCTGCAGGTTTAGAGAACTCAACTTCTTTTTAACCTGGACTAGGGACTCGATAAAATTCTTAAAATAACTAATATTTCTCCAGATTGATGACACATTTTCCCCCACCAAAATACATTGTTTCATGATGTTTTCAAAACAATTAAAATTTAGATTCATAGTATTTATTTTAGAATGGCTGAAAGAATAATGTTGTCAAAATGCCAATCCGAGTGTACACGGATCTACCAACTTGGGTGATATTTCAATGCCTTACGTATGATTTAGGGTGTGGACTTGGCGCATTGTCAATATACAT